GGCCTCCGCGGCCCCCACCCCCGTCGTTCCCTCGGCGGCTCGGACCCGGACCCGGCCTTCCGCCCTCCGGCTCGGGGGGAGATCACAGCCCCTCGACTCCGCCACGTGGAACTCGTGTGCCCGACGCCCGCAGCGCCCCGCGCGGTGCCGCCGCCTCCGAGACCGAGAGGCGCCCCTGGACTGTCCACGGCAGCGGAGGGTCGGAGGTGGCTGGGGCCGGGGGAGCGGAGGCGCGGGAGGATCGGGGATCAGAATGGGGAGCGGGGAGGCGTCCCTTCCTGGTGTCGCCAAAGGAAACAGAAAGTAGTCGCTCAGTCGGGGAGAAGGATGTCTGAGCGGTGTTTACTTTACAAATCCACCCAAAACAACGTTGAAAGATGGGCATGACCCGTCATCTCACCATCCTGGGAGTGGAACTACAACTTGTATGAATGGAATAATGAAGGACGTTTCAAATCGTGACTTCTGAGCTCTTGAGAAGGTGGGCAGGAGTTAAGGCCTCACCTTCTGCTTGGCACTGTGGGGGATTAAACAGTAAGTATAAGATGTACCTGGTGTTTTGAAGGTGCTTAACGTTGCTAAAGGGAAAGAATGCTAACTTGGGAGTCAGACAGGGCTGGGCTCTGGTAAAAAAAGAAACAGTCCCAAGGTGAGGTCACTTGCCCCCTTGACAGCAAAACAAGACTTAACTGCAGTTTCAGCCCCTCCTAGGCGTGGAATATTAAACTATAATTTCCTCATTGACACTAGAGAGGTAATCTGCATAAGAGCCCCCTGCCACCCTTCCCCAGCAAAACTGGTGATCTGTCCTGAAACAATCTTTTCTAATAACTTTAAAAAATAATAATTTTATGTGCCCCAGGCATGAATATAGCTCTGGCCACCAGCACAGACATCAAGCTAAGATAAGCTAACTTTGCCTCTGACTGATAAAAGAGCAACATCACCAATCAGGTGTCTCCATGCCCATTGCCAGGGAGTGCTAATAACTTTTTTTACTCAGCCCAGTTTCTTATAAGAGTCTTCCATTTTCTTCTACTCAGAGCAGGTCTCCTTTACTAGGTAGAATGCTGTGCAATTCACAAGTTGTTAATAAAGCCAATTAGATCTTCAAATTTACATGAATTTTGTTTTTGAATTTTGTTTTTTAACAGATTCCTTTCCTGCCCTGCCACTTAAAAAGACTCTGTGACCTTGGGAAAGTTTCTTAACTTCTCAGTTCTCCAACTACATCATCTTTTAAGTACAGATGGTTGTAAAAACGAGAGATGTATATAAGACACCTAGTATGTTGCCTAATACATCCTACTCAGTAAATGTTTGAAGTGAAGTGAATAACTGATCATTCCCTATGCAGATCAGTAGCAAACATGGAAGATAGAACACCAACACCCCCTCCTACCTGTTGTTGGGAAATTGCAATAGAGATGTTTATGACTTTTCACTGTCTTTGTTGGCAAAATTGAATGAAACTTGGCCCAAACTGGAGAAAACTTGTCCCTGCAATCTAAGCAACCAAGTTGCAACTGCTTTTTCTCCCTTTAGTGTCATTTAAGGACTTAGAAGCCAGTGGTCCTGTCTGGTCCCTCTGAGGCCATAATGAGGATGGCCAAGCTGGGGGAGAGGGAAGGTCAGGGGAAACGTGTGAGGCAATGTGAAACGATGCAGAAGACCCAGGCAGCACTCAGGTTACAAGTACAAGTTCTGATGAGCCAGCTCAGGAATTGTAAGAGATGTGCAGATGAGGTGGATGTCAGTTCATGGTCAGGGTGCTGAAGAAACCTGAAAACAGTGGGAAATTGCAGGGCAGAGTTGCAAAGAGAGTAATACCTTCATTTCCTGACCAACTTATTTAATGTTCCAGAATAGAGAAGTGTTAACTTCATCGCCTAGCTGGGGAAGTCTGCCTCACTGTTTTAAAGTTGAGAAGCTATATGTCTATAAATATTGGTGATATTGAAAAGAAAAACGGACCATGTGGAGGGAAACAAGGGATGGGTTGATAGATTCCTGAGGAAAAGATCAGAAGCTATAAGTTTATATACTTGCTATGCTTATATGTGGAGATCTAAGGCTCTGAAAGTTTCCAAAAGGAGAAGCAATTAGTAAACTGTGGTGGCTCGTTTCATCCAAGGTTTTTTTGGAATGATTGTGAAGAAAACTGTATTTACCACTTATTGAGCTGTGGACTAGATGCTTACATGTTATCTTATTTGGTCTTTACAGTGGCCTTTGGGGGGCAGGTGGTATTATCTACATTTTGTAAATTGAAAAAATGAGACTCAGAGAGATTAAGTTCTTTGTCCAAGGTCACACAAGACTGGTTAAAGAATGGGACCTGTTGTTAAATGGCCTGCCCAGATAAGTGGTTGATACTTTAATGTTATTGTCACAAATTTGTAAAATGATGGTGCTATTTAGCCCATCTTAGTGGTCGTGGTGTTTTGTTGATGAAGATGAGCCTTGCAGCAGTTTTTACTGCCGATTCCTAAAAAATCAAGATAGCCAAGGCAAGATGGAACAGAATTCTTTTGTTATTATGGCAACCTTTGGTCTTGGGTGGAGGGCATGGTAGTATAGGAGATCTCTGTCCTGTGAGTTGCAAGCTGCAGGTAGAAGACTTTGGCATGTAGGTGTGAAGCATTGCTCATCAATTTCTACCCACGATGTCAGATTGTCAGATTCTCAGTCATCGTTAGTCCTTCCCCTCCTGTTGAGCAGCAGCAGGCAGGCTGCTCACACCCTCTTTTCGGGGGGGTTGTGTTTCAGACGTAGTCATTTTAGTACATTATAAAACTCAACTCATATAAGGCCGTAGGCTCAAAAGCTACTTAAGAAGTGGCAGAGAGGGCATGAGGGGCCTTTGTAGCTATTTTAGATTAGGGTGCTGTGGGGTTCAGTCAGGGTCTTTGGTCAGGCTATTGATCTGCTTTGGCTGTGGTACTTTTCTAGTAAGTGTGGTCCTAAGGCTGTTGGTTTCTTTTCTAGCTGGTTCTAGTGAGCCCTACATCAGAGCAGTATGACAGCCTACTTCGGCAGATGTGGGAGAGGATGGACGAGGGATGCGGAGAGACCATATATGTCATTGGGCAGGGATCAGGTGAGCATAGTTTTCCTTTCACTTATTTTTTAAAAATTATTTAGAGACATTTCCCATCTTTTACCCACTTTCTTGTTCAGTGTCTGCAGAACTGTTTGGGAGGACATAAAAAATACAAAAAATACAATGTGATAATGTTAATTCCCACCTTACTGGTCATAATCTGCTTGACTTGAAAGATTCACTTTCCAAGCGGTTTTACAGATGCTTCCTTTTTACGTCCATTTGCATGAAGGGGAATGAAGCACAAAGCAAGGACACGTCTTGTCCCAGGTATAGAGCAAGTCATAGGTCTAGAATTAAGCTTTCCCTGGGCTGCTCTAGTCTTCCCCTCCAACCCAGTTTACAGATCCCATTGCTACTTACTGTGTGCTTTGCAGAGAACTTTCCTGATCCTTCTTGATGTCAGCAACAAGGGCACACCCAGAATTCCTCTCTTCAGCAAGGCTTTCTTGCCCCAGACCACACTGACCACTCAGTGTGGCTAGCTGGGCTAATGGAAGCCCCCTCTTCTCCCTAGGAGATCCCATCAGAGATATAGACTTGTTAACATTCTGGAAGAAACTGGTTATTGTACTCTAGCCTGCTTATTCCATTGTAGTGGGGCTGTTTTAGAGGAAGGCAGCCTCTGTAACAGAATCCCACATTATATCTTGGGCACCACACCCACCTCGGTCATTCCTAGTTTATACTTTTGATACAAGGCCTACTTACCCTCATCTTCATTATGACATTATCTTTGCTGAAATGACAGCTAGCTTGTTAATGATTATGAATTTATCCTGTACCAGAACTTGTCTGTCATCTTTGCAGGAAACCTCAGTAGGGCTTGGTGCATCATTAAAGGAACAGTTCCCTTTGCTGAATGTAGGCTTTGTAAAGGCAGATAATAATTCTTTTGTTTTAAGACTGAATTTAAGATGGAGAAAATCTCATAATCATTCTTTATTTGACAAATACCTATCAAGTATCTTCTAAGGGCTTGATATTGTTGCAAAGCACTTTTGGATACTAAAATCTAGTCTCTGTCCCAAGAAGGAAAGATGGCATTTACACAGATAACCTCAGTGGAAGACAATATTTGGAAATGCTGCAAGAGTGACACTAGGAAGAAAGGCTTGATCTCCAGTTACTGCTGTACCTTCCTTTGGAATGCTTTTCTTATCTATTCTTTCCTTTCCATCTTTGCTGCCACGCTTGGTTTTCTTTGATCTTACACCTTTAAGAAGGCATGGTCCAAGAAAAAAAGAAGGCATGGCCCAAGAGATTGCTCGTCAAGAAAGGGAGGTAGTTGGTCAGCGCCATCAAGTTCTAGAGAGACAGCAAGGAGAGCTGGGTTCAGAAAAAGCCATTCCATTTGGTGACTAGGGGGTCATTGGTAGCCTTTTGAAAACTTTGTGTTGGATACACATCCGGCCTGCTATGATAGGATGAACCACTCAGAGACCACCTCATGCCTATATAATTGAAGAAACCACATCTAATCAGTTTGACAAATGTTGGGACTGTTCTTTGAAGACCTAAATTCTTAACATTCCCCCACAACTCTTTTTAAATATATCTTCGTTGATTTCAGAGAGAGGAAGGGAGAGGGAGAGAGAGAGAGAAACATCAGTGATGAGAGAGTCATTGATCGGCTGCCTCCTGCACGCCCCCTGCTGGGGATCGAGCCCGCAACCCGGGCATGTGCCCTGACCGGGAATGGAACCGCAATCTCCTGGATCCTAGGTCGATGCTCAGCCGTTGAGCCCTGCTTGGCCAGGCTCCCCTACCATTTCTTTAACGTGGACTCTTCAGTGAATTTTACCATACCTTGGCAGCTGACAACTAATTAACCCTCTCGTGGTAAAGCATAAGGTGTCAAACATTCATTAACACATCTACACACCCAGGCGTTATCTTTGCATCTATCCATTGGATGCTATTACATTCATAGTGACTCCTTCCTGCTGGAATTCTTTAGAGGTCTTAACTGGTTAAACAAGTTGAACATCAAACAGAGGACTAACCCAGATGCAAGGCTCCAGGGGTCAGGTTCATCACCTGCTTCCTCTGTGTGCCTGGTGCTTCACCCGTTTTATCATGTCCTTTGCCTGTAAAACGAGGATAATGACATCCTTCCCCCACCTTACCTCTGAGAAATTTGGTATGAATAAGTTAGACATTGAAAATTCGAAGTAGTACAGAGGAATGTGCTCTTTAAGTATACATTCCTGATTTAAGATTGATCTTTTAAAAGGAGGCAGTCTGGCCTAGTACTTAGTTCAGAGTCTGGAGTCTGGCAGGCCTGAGTTTGCCTGATGGCTCTAACTTATCTTAAAAAGGGGTGGTAGTGTCGTGGTGAAGGTTAACACTTGGTATATAGTAAGCATTATATAAATGTTAGTATTAGTTGCAGTAGTAATTTTTTAAGGGTTCCAGGTTATAGTTGATTTATCATGAGATTTTTTTCAAAAACAACCTTGTTAATTTGTCAGATGTTAAATTATGACTTTCTAAGAGCCAGGTACTGTATTAAAAGTTCAGGGAACAAAGGAGAAGTGTTAAGTCTTTGTGAGGAGTCAGGAAAGGCTTCAAGGAGGAGGTGCCCCTTGAATCGGTTTTAAAGGATGAGTAGGAGTTTTCTAGGTAAGTGGAGGCAGTGTGAGTGAGCAGAGGAAGCCACATGCACGGAGTCACTGGCTACTGGAGTATTTGGTGGGGCAGTGGTGATTCAGTAAAGTAGGAGTGTAGTGTGTGAGGTTGGGAGTGTCGGTTAGGAGGGTGGGCTAGACAGGTAGGCAGGTCCCAGATAGATCTTGAGGGTCTTTGAATGCCTTACCAAAGAGTTTAGACCTTTATCCTAAAAGTTTGGAGAACCTTTGCATCACGTTGAGCAGGAGAGTGCATGTAGAAAAGGTAAGTCAGATGGCAGGACTGAAGTCTCACTGAGGGTTGGGCGTGGGTGACTATGTGGCCTTTAGTAATTGGACCTCTGCGGCTTTTCTCCTTGGCCTTTGTTGCCACTCCTCCTGAGTGAGAACTCAATGCATGCTGGGGAAGAGTAATGCGATGGGGCATTTTCTGGGAGCTCCAGACGGACAAGGTGACATTGGTCATTGCCTCCAGGTATGGAACAGGACCTGAAAACATTGCTTTTTGTTGTGTCAAAATCAGGAAACAGTGGCTAGAATTTGGGGATCTGGCAAGAATGACAGAAATAGCAGTCCTTCTCCGGGGAGCACTTCCAGCAAATTCTCTCACACAGATGTCCAGAGCGCAGTTGGCCATGCATTTAGAAACACGTCAGCCCAACTGCTCCTACTTTGTTCATTTGGTTTGCATTTTACAAACACTTGAGGACTTTATATAGGAAAGGCATCCCACGTGGGGTATCCAGGGAATGTTGGGGTTTGATCCCTGTCCTGAAGATGCTTTGTATAGTGAGGAAGACACTCATCCAGAACACTATTCCACAGGTGTAGTGTGTGGTAAATGCCATAAGGGAGCAGAATGGGTAGGATTTTGACAGGTGGAGATGTGCTGATGGGTTTTTTAGCATAAGAAATACTTAAGCAAAGGTGTAGAGCTGGAGAAGTACAGGGAACATGGGGAGGGGATGGTGGCTGGGCCACTTGCACTGGGACAAAACTGAGGAGGGGGTGTGGAATGAATGGGGGAGGGCTTTAAGTAATTAGAATTGAATGCTGCTGGGCCTGGGGAGGCATTCCAGGGCTTTGACTAGAATGTGACACCATTAGGTCTGTGCTTTGTCTAGGAGCTTGGGCTTGGGCCTATGTAGGATGGGTTGGAGGGAACAGGGACTGAATTTGCTAAGACCAGTTAGGATCTGTTGTGCCGAGGTAGAATAAGGGCCTGATTCAGACTTTCGGCATTGGGTTAGCAAAAGGAATAGAGCAGGGGTAGAGAAAGAAGGGCAGGTATAAAGCTAGAATCAGCAGGACTGGAGTGATGAGTGTTAAGCTTAGATGACTGGAAGGATGGTGCTGTCTTCAGAAATAGGGAAGGCAAGAGGGGGAACTGGTCGGACATTAAGAGGAGCCCTTGCCAGAGGAAAAGGCTCTAGGTTTGGAATCAGAAGACCTAAGCTCACCCAGCCCCTCTGTTCCCTACCAGTTCTGAGGCCTGTCTGGGTTCTGTTTACCCCACTGTTAAAAGGGAGGATCAACGCTTACCTCATAGGGTTGCAGTGAGGACTAAAACGATATATTAATGGTTAGTTTTTGTGCTGTTGTTTAAAGGGAAGGGCTTGGGTTGTTGAATTTAGACATCCAGGCTTCTAGGAGTCATCCAGGCAATTGGGAATTCAGTATAGAGTTCTGGGAAGAGGAGGGTGCTAGAAATGAATTTGGGGTTTTTTTTTTTAGGTTTAAAAATGACAGTTGAAGCCATAGTATGAGATAGCCAAGGGGAATGTTCAGAGGATAGAGAAGAGGGCCACTGGCTGGCTACTGGGAAAGACTGGCATTTGGGGGACAGGAGCAGGATGAGCCAGCGGAGTGGACAGAACGAGGAACCAGAGAGCAGGAGGGGAATCAGGAGAGGTCATGCAGTAGGCAAGCAGGGTGGGAGGGAGGCCAGCGGTGTCGAATGCTGTTGGGGTCAAGAAAGGGGCATTGGATGAGTGGTTAGAAGGCCACTGATGACTTGAAAACTAGTTTCTTCCAGAATTGTAGGTAAATTCAGAGAGTAGGATGGTGATAGCCATCAAGTCTCAGTTACTCTTTTGAGATGCTTGGTGGCAAGAGGAGGAACAGAGGAGACAGTGGCTCAGGAGATGAGTGGGGGAGAGGGGATGGGTTTCCTTTTCCTAGCTTAGGATGACCTGAGCCTGTCCAGGGAAGTGGGCGGAGGAGGGAGAGAGGGTGAGGGAAGGTGCTCCAAGGTCCCTGGGAGGCAGTGAAGTGCCACGATTGGGCCTGTGCTGGGCGGATAGCCTAGACTCGGAACCGGTGCTCCCAGAGACAGAGGCTAGAGGCGAAGCTGAAGGAGCTGTTGTGGGAATTACGACACCAAGTGGAAAGCACCTGATGGGAATTGTCATAAATAGACTCAATAAATGATTGGTTGACTGGTTCCTCCTTTCCTCATCCTGAGCTCAGACTCATTTTCCCATCTGCTTGCTGGACATTTCACCTGAGCTACCTCAGTCAAAATCTATTCCTAAAATCATTCTTAAACTCTCCCCATTTTCCTTTGTCCCCGTCCTCATTATCGCTTGCCTGGATAATTAGAATGACTTCCTGACGGGGCTCCCCCTTTCCGGTCTCTCACTTGTCAGTGCACACTTCTATTGCTGCCCAAGAATCTTTCTAACCCACAGTGACCTGATCATGTTACTCCCTTGCCTAAACCCCCAAGGCTTCTCATTGCCTGGTACATGATGTGTTTTGCTGCTACTGTCTGTCTGCTTAACCGCTTCCACCTCTTGTGTGGTTTCCTGCCACTTGACATCCTGCTCCCCAACACACCGAGCTGCTTACTGGTCCCGGAATGTGCTGTGGTCTGCAATGCTCCATGCTTAGCTGCTCTGCCTAGGATGTCCTCCTTTCTTGTGGGCCCACTTTCACGCTTGGAGACCCAGCACCCTGAAAAGCTGTCCTCAGCTTCCCAGGCTGTGCTAGTTGCTCAGACTTTACATTCTTTTTGTACAGTTGTATAGTATAATATTCAAGCTGAATTGCCTTTAATTAATTTCCTGTCTCTCCCACTGAGCTGTGAGCTCGCTAAGGGCACCTGTATTCCCAGGACTCAGCATGAAGCTTGGCATAAAACCCAGGACAGTCTCAGTGATTACTGTTGAGTGAATTAATGAGGGCCCTGCTTAATGGGGAAGCCCGTGGCACTGTTATTTATTAACTCTGTGTGTGCCCAAGTTTTTGAAAAGTGTCCGGTAGAGAGAGCCATGTTCTTCTCCAGTGCCTGGGGTGGGATCTTTGTTAGGGCTCGACTGTCTGGCTTGTTGGAACACTGATGTCTGGGCTCTTGTCACCAGATGGGACTGAGTACGGGCTGAGTGAAGCTGACATGGAGGCCTCCTACGCCACAGTGAAAAGCATGGCAGAACAGATAGAGGCTGATGTCATCCTCCTGCGGGAGCGTCAGGAAGCTGGGGGCCGTGTGCGTGACTACCTGGTCCGGAAGCGAGTAGGAGATGATGACTTCCTGGAGGTCAGGTGAGGAGGCCCCCCAACAGTTCAGGGGTCTGCAGCAGGAGTCGTGATTGAGCCTTTGACACCTAGCATGGCAGCTTTGCCCTTCCCTTCTGAGGCCAGGAAAGAGTGCCGAGACACGATAGCGCCTCTCTTTACCTCTGCACTTCCCCATCCCTAATATTTCCACTTGGGGAGAGTGGGAGAGAGGCCAGCCAGACGTTTTGTGGGCCACATTATCTTTCTTACTGGCCTGTGAGGCTGGAAACCAGGGTGACGCAGGAGAGCATTGTGTGCCTCTCTTGGCTTTGGGGCTCCTCTCTGGCACCTTTGGGAAAGCTAGTGGAAGGTAAGGGAGAAAGCCACTGTGATGGGAGCCCAGTTCCTCCTGATAACTTTCTACTCCCTAGAGAAGACCTACAGGAATGTTCTGATTGCTTATCCATGAAAAGGAACAGTGACTGGAGTGGCTCCAGAGCAAGCCTGTCCTTGCAGATTCAGTGAGTTGGTTTCACTTTGCTCACCCACTGACTCTCATGTGGATGTCTGGGTTTATGTGCACGCAGGGTAGCAGTTGTGGGCAACGTGGATGCTGGCAAAAGCACACTTCTGGGCGTTCTGACACACGGGGAGCTGGACAATGGCCGAGGCTTTGCCCGCCAAAAACTCTTCCGCCACAAGCATGAGATTGAATCTGGTCGCACCAGCAGCGTGGGCAACGACATTCTGGGTTTTGACAGCGAAGGCAATGTGGTGAACAAACCAGACAGCCACGGGGGCAGCCTGGAGTGGACAAAGATTTGTGAGAAATCCACTAAAGTGATTACTTTCATAGACTTGGCTGGCCATGAGAAATACCTGAAGACCACTGTTTTCGGCATGACGGGCCACCTGCCTGACTTCTGCATGCTCATGGTAAGTATGGCACTCCCTGGAGTGCAGGCTTCTATGGGGCTGTTGAGGGTGTGGTTATGCTCACCCAGTGTTTGAAACTGTTCCGAGGCTGAAGCCTACTGGTTTGGGGCATTGACAGTAGGTAAGGATGACAGGTTTTGCCAGGAGTGCCCAGTCCCCTGAGCTCTACAATCATCTCAAGGGGTGTAACTTGATCTAGTTAGCTCAGACAGGATCCCCTATGGAGAAACAAAGGTATTTGCAGACCTCTCATTTTTTGGAAAGACATAGAGGAAGGTTTCTCCTGGGGTTTACTTATTACCTTCAGAAATGTTTTCTTCTCGCGTTGGACTACTTTGAGGTGGCACCAGGTAGTACTCTCAGAGAGGGGAGGCTGGGGGAAGAAGTGGAGGAGAGCACAGATATCAATAAAGAGGGGGCTAAGGGGGCCTCTTCCAAAGCCTGGAATGAGTGTAACTGTTGAGAGGATGCGGTGTGCCTGGCACTGTGCTGGGCCTAAAGATGCAGCCATGAACAGGGCTGGCCTGGGCTCCCGGAGAGCTTACAGTCCAGTGGGAGTAGATTTTTAAGCAGCTCATTTACATAGATGAACTGGAACGGAAAGGGAGCAGAGGCCTGTGTTGGATCATGTTGCCAAGCTTGTATTTGGGTCTCTGATATTCCTCCCTGGACAGAGTGGGGGCCTGCGAGGCCTACAACCTTGGTGGCAGCTTCACAGCTTTCACGGAGAGAGCAAGCAAGCACGTTTTCCTTTGGCAAGTCATTCTCGAAGCCCTTCCCCATATCCCAGTTCCTACAGCTGCTTGCATTAATAAGTGTAGTAAACACAAGCATCTGTTGGGAGAAAACTCTATCAAGTTGCCCCACAAACACAGGTTCTCATGCAAAGTCTCCCCAAACTGGAGACTAAAGAGAAGTGGAGCATATGACTGAACACTCTTGTCGGCTCTCTGCTCAGGGTTCTTGGGATCTCAGTGTGATTTCATTTCCTGTATCTTTGATCATTGCAAGGGGCCATCACCGCCTTGACTGGGCTAAGGAAAGATGCTCTATAAGTAGGGATTTCAGTGGATAGTCAGTTCATAGGACATATTTGGGGTGGGGGGTTATTAAGAAAGATATAGACATCAATCCGTTTAAAATGAGCACTTTTTTAAATGAGCTACGGTGAGCAAGGCCAATTATTGGAAATACCTTCATTGATATGAAGTGTTAAATATTATCTGAGTTTTGGGCCATGATTCAAATATTAAAAAATTTTCTGTAGAAAATAATGAAAAAAATTTTAAATGTTCTTATTGATTTTAGAGAAGAAGGGAGAGGGGGAGCTAGAGAGAAAAATATCAATTAGAGAGAACCATCAGTTGGCTACCTCCTGCACACCCCCGACCATATCTTAGAGATTATACTGTACCTCTTTTTTTGTACGCCCTCTTGTGCATGTGCCCTAATTTATTGAACAAGCCTTTGTGGTGATATTTAAAAACGTTTACTATTATGGGAAGGAATAGTAACAGTAGTAACAGCAGCCATTGCTTGAACGCCTAACTCATGCTAGTTGTGTGCTGGACCTCTGACATAGGACAAGTGACCCTCTAAAGTGGATATTATTATCCCCCCATTTTATAGATGCGGGCACTGAGGGCCAGGGATGTTAAACTGAATTCACTTTGATGACTCTAGACTGTCTGGGTTTGTCTTTTTTTATTGTTTGCAAGTCTCAGATTTTGATGGCCCACATTGCTGACTCAAGTTAAAGCAGTCTGTGCCCAGCCCAGCTTTCATTTACAGCCATTTTGTTCCTGGCCTGAGACTGGTGCCTCCTGGGTCCTATTCCGATGGCGGCCTCAGAGATGGGAGCGCTCTCTCATTCCCACAGTCTTTGGATCTCTGTGCCAACTCAGCAGCAAGCTCTATATCCCTTGCCCTGACAGTTCTTTCTGTGTTGGGGCAGGTGGGCAGCAATGCTGGCATCGTGGGGATGACCAAGGAGCACCTGGGCTTGGCATTGGCACTGAATGTTCCTGTTTTTGTGGTGGTCACCAAGATTGACATGTGTCCTGCTAACATCCTGCAAGGTAAGTGAAGCCTCCAGCTAGCAGCAGTTATTCTGATTGGGGCTCCTTGGTGGTCTGCTAACAGCTTCAGCCTAGAACCTTCTGCTTCTTTATCTTGTGCTCAGACCTGGCCTGAATTTCCCATCAGCCGAGAATCTTCTGCTTTCTCTCCTGTTCAGCTCTTGGTCTGAGCATAGCCTAGAATTATCTCTTGCACTTTGTTCTTTCTGGTTCCAAATGCAAGATTCTTGAAGTCCCTAATCTGGCTGGATCTATGCAGCAAGATTGGGGCAGAAGATCTGATAATCTTTTGCCACCATAGGCTTCAAAACAGCATTGCAGGACTAGGTCTTTATGCATTTCTCCCTCATTGCTACAGATGGTAGAAGAGAAATGGAGAGATATCCTTTTGGAGGGCCTCATAAGGAGCTCTGCAAGTGTCTGAATGTCCTAGAGATCCTTTTAACACATGCATTATCTTTCCAGGAAGCAGAGCATTCTGAGAAGAACATTGACTTTACGTGCCCATCCCCTTTCCCCCCTCACAGGATGCAGGTCTTTTGGAGACTAGAGAAATCACAGCGGGTTTCAGACCCGTAACCTTAGCAGACGGGCCCCATCTGTGCTGTGTTTCTACTCTGGCAAGCACACATCCACCCAAGGTTTTCATCTTCTTTTTCGCTTCTCCAGGCCTTGTGGCATTCAACATTGTCTGTTTCTTGCTTGCAACAGTAATGAGTGGACATGTCTTGCCCTGGAAGCCTGGCCACAGAGCTAATTCTGTTCCACTGCTCCCTTTAAGAAACCCTGAAGCTGTTACAGCGCCTGCTGAAGTCGCCAGGCTGCCGCAAGATCCCTGTGCTGGTGCAGAGCAAGGATGATGTGATCGTCACAGCCTCCAACTTCAGCTCTGAGAGGTATAGGGGCAGGGGCACGCACTCCTGGGCAGACACAGACGATGCACGAAGTAGACTTGCGCCGTCTCAGCACAAGGTCTCCCAGGCTGGCAGTGTGCCCAGGGGCTATTTCAGGTGACTCAGATTCTGAGGAGCTAGCCTTGCTGAGGTTGGAATCCCAGCTGAGACTTCAGTGTCCTTGCCTCTGAAACGGGAATGATGTTACCTTCTCTGTAGGGCTCTCATAAGTGTTGGAAATGATGTACGGAGAGCACTTAGCGCTGCACCTGGCTGCTGTGTGATGCATGCACAGCCATTTTTATAACTTACTATACATTTTTTATCCTGTTGTTTCTCAAAAGCTCTTGAATCACAAATCACTTTAGGCCTTAACTCATTACCGTATCCTTTGATTCCTTAAGTATATTTTGGATGCCTGTTTGGTGCCAGGCTCTTCATTTAGGCATTGAGGTTCCAGAGTTGACTCGGGCTCTGTCCTTATCTTCAAGGTGGTCAGCTCAGCTCCTTGGTCAGAGGTACTCTTAGAACTTTATTAATTCTGTTCCTTCTGCCAGAGCCTTGGGGCTGCTTAGAGCCATCTGTCTCCTGGTTTGGTCTGTAGTATAGGACCCTGGCATTGTGGCCTGTAGCTCTGCCCTGACACTGTCTTCAGTACCACCATTTGGCCAGCAGAGGGGGTACATTTAAGCTGCCCCCATTTTATTTTAATTTCTATTTTATTGATTTCTTTTTTCCTTCTTTTAGAGAGAGAGGAAGGGAGAGGGAGAGAGAGAAACATCGATGCAAGAGTGAAACATCCATCGGCTGCCTCCTTCACGCCCCCTACTGGGAATCAAGCCCACAACTTGGGCATATGCCCTGACTGGGAATTGAACCAGCACCCTTCGGTGCACTGGACAGTGCCCAACCAACTGAGCCACACTGGCCAGGGCCAGCTGCCCCTATTTTAATTTACTGATTTCCTGTTCTGTGCAGGTGCTATTCTAAGGGCTAAGGGAAATATATAATTCCTGATCTCAAGGAGTTTGATTAACCCTGGATAGGAGATACAGAGGCCATTGAGATAACTGATGGAAAGTTATCTCAGGAGCTGAGATAAAAAGTTCAGGAGCTGAGAGGAGTTAAGTGCCCATCTGGGAAGGGATTCCTGGAAGCAGCAGTATTGGAAATGTGCCCTGAAGGATGAGAGGATTTGGTAGGTGGATAAGAGGGAAGGAATTCAGGCAGGAGGACCTGAGTGAACAAATACATGGCAGCAGAAAAGAACCAGGCTTTTAAGAGAAAGTAAGTTTCTCTGGTCTGGCTGGAATATAGGAATTTAAGAGAAACCTGCAGAGATGTTGGGAGGAGGGATGCAGGCTGTTTTCTCTGTTGGTGAGAGGATTAAGGATTTTAAGCAAGCATGTGTGTGCTTCAGGAAGAAGCAGTTAAGAGTGCCAAGTGCCTGAAATAGGGCAGTGGTGGAGGGACAGAGAGGAGGGGGACAGATTTCAGAGACAAAATGGAGTAAGAGGAGACGGGCTTAGAGTTGGGGCAGAGGGGTGGAGCCCTGGGAGGCAGGCGAGGGGCAGTGAGGCCATCCCAGGAGCCTTCCTGCTGCTCCCATCCTATGTCAGGCAGGAGCTGGCTGCCTGAGCTGCTTTCTTCCTCTTTCTTCCCCCCACTTAGGATGTGCCCAATATTCCAGATCTCCAACGTTACAGGCGAGAACCTAGATCTGCTGAAGATGTTCCTCAACCTCCTCTCCCCCCGCACCAGCTACCGGGAAGAAGAGCCTGCTGAGTTTCAGATTGATGACACTTACTCTGTACCAGTGAGTGGCTTCTGGTAGACTGAGCAGGTTGGGAGGCTGGGCGGGCACTTCCTACAAGGTGTGTTGGGTTGAGCCTGTGGTGGAGAGGGGTTAAGTGGGGATAGACTTACTGGACCAGGGTCTTCTCTACAGGGTGTGGGGACAGTGGTGTCAGGGACGACACTCAGGGGCCTGATTAAGCTGAATGACACACTGCTGCTGGGCCCAGATCCCCTGGGTAACTTCCTCTCCATTGCTGTAAAATCGATCCATCGCAAGCGCATGCCTGTCAAGGAGGTGCGGGGGGGCCAGACAGCCTCCTTTGCACTGAAGAAGGTGAGTGTTGATAATACCAAAACGCCCCTGGGAGACTGTGTCATACTAGGCTCTGGGCCATCTCCAGTCCTCATGGCTGTTCTGCAAGCCAGGGTTTACCTCACTTTTACAGATGAGGAAACTGAGGCTTAGAGAGCATGAGTGACATGCCCAGGAGCCCACAGATAGTAAGTGCTAGAGCCGGGACTTGAACCCAGGTCTGCCTGCCTCCTAAGCTTGTTCCTCCCTCTAGTGCCTGAGCAGGATGCCCTAAACTCAGTGGTGAGGTCAGATATGCATCTCCCTGCTGTGGTGAGGGTCCTTCTGCATAGGGCTGTAGGGGTCCGTGCCAGATCCTCTTCCCATTCAGCCTTCTGTCCCCCAGGGATTTGGGTGAGTGCTAGCTTTAGGGTCACCTACCTTCTTCGCCAACCAGATTAACCAGCAAAGTGGGACTTCCTCTATTCCCTGCAACAGTCATGTCCTACTTGCCCTGTTCATTCCGCCTAACGCTTGCCTGCCTTGGCTCTCATCACCCTCTTAGTTCTTACCCATCCTTCAAGGCCCAGCTGAAATGCCACTTCCTGATGAGGCCTTTCCTGACCCCAAAGAGCAGTGTTGAGCTCCCCATGGAATGGGAGCACTAGAATCTGCTTAGCAGGCCTGTGGGCCAGTGCAGTGAGGGCAAGGCTGAGTGGGCTGGTCCTCATTCCCAGGCCCGGGGGTGAAACCCAAAGGCCTGTTGTCCCTGAGGCCTGGCATTCCCTCGTTCTTTCAGATTAAGCGCTCATCTATCCGGAAGGGCATGGTGATGGTTTCCCCGCGCTTGAATCCCCAAGCATCCTGGGAGTTTGAAGCGGAGATCCTCGTTCTGCACCACCCTACCACGATCAGCCCACGCTACCAGGCCATGGGTAGGTGTCTGAAGGGGTTGCCAGCCCAGTAGGCCCCCCACTCCAGCTCTCTTTACAAAGTGCTCCAGTGACCCAAACCCCGAAGTTTCAACTCCATTCAAGAGGCAGGTCTCCTTCCTGCCTAGTGATGCTCTCTTTTCCTCCCATGAATTGTAGCATTTATTCAGTCCTGCAAACAAATGGAGTGCCTGCTGAATGCCTACTCATTGTCTACTGAATGCCAGTGTGTGCCGGGTGTTGCCAGGTGCTGACGACAAAGACCAGATAGGCAAGGGCCCTGCCCTCAAGAAGCCAACAGCTTAGAGAAGGCACACATGCAAACACAGTGCCCTGTATTCAGGAGTAAGAACCATGGGTCCAGGGACAGGTGGGGTCTAGCTGGAGGAAAAGGTTCGCAGCACAGTCAGATCTCCAGGCAGCCTCCACTCAGTCGGTTCCCTAGGCCTCCCTGAGGGCTTAGCCTACACAACTCAAGCATATTTCATGCCTTCACACTGCCTCCCCTGCCCTGAGGTTAATGATGGCTCAAGCCTGCCCTGCCCTGGCTCCCTTGGCAGTGCACTGTGGGAGCATCAGGCAGACGGCCACCATTCTGAGCATGGACAAGGACTGTCTACGCACTGGGGACAAGGCCACTGTGCACTTCCGCTTTATCAAGACCCCTGAGTACCTGCACATAGACCAGCGGCTGGTGTTCCGGGAAGGCCGCACCAAGGCTGTGGGCACCATCACCAAGGTATGGCCAGGCAGACCTTACGTGCCCCAGCAAACACCAGGAGCCCCTAGCCCGTGAGCAGAGCAGATGATTCTCAATAAGCCTTGCCGAATCTCCTGACCTGCTAGGGCAGAGGTGCCAGTCTCTGCCTTGGGAGAGCTGGAACAGGGCATTCCTGCTGGGTGATAGTACTTGAGATTTCTGATAGCCACACTCCAAACGTTTCCAGCTGCTGAGATAGTCGCTTGGTTTCTGGGAGGCCTGAAGTTAAAACCTGCCCCGACTCTTGTTCCAGGGGCAGCAGGGTCCTACGGCTGGAGATGCAGTTGGTGTTCTGGGGAGTCCTAGCCAGCTTAGTAAGGAAGAAAGCTTTAAGTTAGCTTACCAGTCTCTGGCAGGCGGGGGCCCCATCTGGGAGCTGGGCTGAGTGGGAGGGGCAAGGATCCCTGATTGTCTGCAAGAGGAAAAGCTGGAGCAGGGGCAGGATGGAGCCCTGCGTGGCTGGGCTGAGGCAGCCTGGGACTCTGGGTGGGGAGAGAGCATCTCTCCATCCCTTTGCCCCTGTCGTGGGCCCTCCCCCAGGACCAGCCAGGCCAGGGAGTAAGGAGTCCCAAGAGGGGGCGGGGGAGCAGGCAGCTGAGCTGAGGCCCTGCCTGCAGCTCGGGCCTCATTCTCATGCTCTTGGCTCCTGCAGCTTCTCCAGACCACCAACAACTCCCCGATGAACTCCAAGCCTCAACAGATTAAAATGCAGTCAACGAAAAAAGGCCCTCTAACCAAACGAGAAGACGGGGGCCCACTTGGAGCGCTGGCGGTAGGGGTTCCTCCACCTGGAGATGAAGCTGTCTCTCTAGGGGCTGCGCAGTCAGCTGCGTCCAGCAGTTTCCAGCCAACGGTGAGCATGCCTCCCTGACTGCCTTGGGCGGTGCAGGCAGGGCAATGGGGGTGTGGCTGTCACAGTAGTCATTGGAGGGGACATGTAAGAGAGCTTCAGGTAGCCCTCACCCAAGGCCACATCTGTGCATAGACAAGGTGTTTCATAGCTCCAGGCACATAGATGCTTTCTGAGTGAGCTGTTTGCCTCCAAACGCGCTGTTTTCCAACCTTGAGATGTGTCCTATGTAAAGTTGATTTAATTGGTCCCTATTGGCATTTAGTTTCCACATTTTGAAGTTTCCCTTTTAGTAAAAATATTGTTTATGTGTGTTGGTGAGTGTGGGTGACGTATATGTGTGTTATGGTCCAAAAGGCTTGAAAATTGCTGCCTTAGAGGCTCTCCTGTGTTCCCTCCCCCTACATGATACCTCCTGAGGGGTCTGTGGCCTTGGGCCCTGTGTCATTGTGGCTGTCACTCGGCATCCTCTGCCAGCTCTACCCCGGGTTCTCAGCACCCCCTCACCTCCTTCCAGAGTCTCGTTCTCCATCTGACCCTTTGGAGAAGGAAGCTTTTGCCTGGACCCGTCCTTTCTGCTCTCTCCCTCATTGAGCTTTCCTCTGGCTCCTTCATTCCCTTTCTCTTTCCACCCATCAGTGGTGGCAGGTGTTGGTTCCTGCTTTCTTTGTGCTTCTCTGCTCTCTCATACCCTTGCCACGTGACCCACCTTCCCAGCAGGTAGGCAGAGTGGGCTCTTGCTCCATCTGACGGGCAGAGCCGTGCTTGGGTCCACAGTGATGGCTCCCCATGCGAGGCTGGGACCACACTGCTCACCCTTGGTCTCCTGCCCTGCTCCCTGCTGCCCGGCTCCTCTGCTGTCCTGCCCTGCTCCCAGTGGCCCACTTCTGCTCAAGCTCCTCCTTTCTCTTTCAGCTCAAGCCCAGCAGTGGGGGCCGGCGACGAGGGGGTCAGCGTCACAAGGTGAAGAACCAGGGAGGCTGTGTGAGTCCTGCCAGTGGCTGCTGAATTTCCCCTTACTACCCAAGGGATTCTCATACTCTGGCCACGCCCATCAGATGGGCCAGAGCAGCCGTGGGCCCTCCCCAGGCCACAGCCGGAGCCTCATCATTCCCCCACCCCTGGTTTCCAGGGGCTTTGTAATTTATAAGCTGAGGAGGAGGCCAGACTCCGGGGCACTGACCATCTCTTAGCCTCCTGCCCGCCTCCTTCCTCCTTCAGTTTCTGTACATCTGGCCCTTAGGCTATTGTTTTTATTCTTGCTCTCGTGTGAGTGTGTGTGTCGGGTGGGGTGTGCAGGAGCGTGGCCACTCAGGGCCCTGGCAGTCTCTTCCCCCCTCCTCCTCCATGGCTGGCCCCTGCCTCCAGGAGCTGGCCGCCTGTCCATTCATCTGTCCATCTGTATGTGTCTCTGTGAGAACCTTTAGGAGCTGTCAGGAGCTGCAGGGTGCCCTCCTTCCCAGTGCTGCTCTGTGCCCAGAGCCCCTCTGTGGAGCTGGCCCCAGGGCTGGGGGCTGCAGGTGTAAGTGCTGCTGCCGCTGGCTCACGAGCCCCCTTCTGGGACTCGGGCCTTTAGCAGGGTGGACAGTGCTGGTTCCTCTTTTCTCTCCCTCTTTTTCTCAAACCACCAAGCAGGTAATGCCAAAAGCTCTTAAGTTGTAACCTGTAGATGTGTGGAGGGGATTGGATTGTAGGGCCCTCCCTGCCCCAAACTCCAACCCTTGCCACTGACCCAAAGACAGCTGGTGGCTTTTTCCCCCCCCTTGGAGACAATCCTGTTTGCCTGGCTGGTCAGGACCACTCCTCTGTGAGTCCGGAGGCTCTCGCCTCCCTGGAGCTGCCTCCTGCTTGAACTTTGAATCTTATTGGGTCTTGGGGCACTGACTGATGACCTAGACCGGTGTAGACCTCCTTTTGGTGGAGTGCGGGGTGTTCCTCTGAGCCAGGCTGGGATGAACCCCCCTTTTCCCACCACACCTCTACCACATGGTGCCAGCGTGGCTACTGCTGGAGCACAACAAGGAATGGCCAGAGCCCCAGGTTGGAAGCCCCGGTTGGGATACGAGGAAGGCAGGTCAAGGCCGAGCACAGAGCAGTAAGCCCTCTGGAGGAATCACTGCTCAGTGTGGGGGTGGGGCTGCCAGACCTGAGGTGGCAGCCTGGGCTCTGAACCAGTCTCGTCTGAGCTGTGGATTGAAGCCCTCAGTTTAGCAGAGACTGGTGGGCGGAGGTGTGTTCTTGCTCTTGTCGGGGCAGACACCCAGCTTGCTGGGCCTGTCCTCAGCCTTGCCTCCCTCTTCTCCCCAACCCTTCCTTCCTCCTCCCGGGCTGCTGGTTCCTTCATCTCCCCTTCTCCCAGCTGTTTCCATTTACCACTGACCCTTGGCCACGGACTAACCAGACCAGCACACACACAAAATAGTTTGTTCCAAGGGAACACTGTTGCTCTGCTTGCCCCAGGGCTTGTCAGGGGGAGCAGAGCAGGGCAGGGGTGGGGGAGCCCAGCTTCTGGGAGGCAGGCGTGGCCTTGCCACCCGAGCTTTTCCACCAGCTCTGACAGGACAAGTTGCCAGCCTTCTCTGAACTTCAGTTTCCTCCTCCACTGTGAGAGGTAAATGCCTGTGGGGGTTGTAGGGATTCAGTGAGAGTATGTATGTGAGGCCCTAATGTGCCCAGCATGCTGCTTACCACCCATGCTATAACAGAGCCCACAAGCTGGGGGACAAGCTTCAGAGGACCCACAAGCTAGGGGACAGGCTTCAGAGGAGAGATGTGGCATTGACAGCTGGGGCTGTGCCAGGTGTCAGTCGCTGCATACTCTGAAGGAGGGGTGTTAGTGCCATTGTTCTAGTTAAGGAAACTGAAGCTCAAAGGAGTATTGCCACCAGCAGATGGGATGTCCCCACTCTGGCCCTCCCCCAGCCATTCCCGCTCAGCTGCTCCAGTGCGACTTTGGCCCCTGCCTGTTCCTTTGTCTACTATTTTCCCCTTGTTTTTTGATTGGTTCTGTTTACAGGGGCTGCTGCCCACTGAATCCTTCATAATTGGAGGGCCCAGTGTTAAGCAGCCCCTGTTCTGTCCCCATGGCGGGTGCTGTGGAATCGGTTTCTCCATGGGGCTTGGCCATGGTAGAACCTCAGAACAGGTGAACCTCATTTTGTTTGAACTCTCCGGCCCCTGTGAGCATAACCACTTTATGTTTGGAAGCCGTGGCCACCACGCTAGCCTCTGTGCTCAGAGGCTCAGGGGGCTGGTCTGGATCTGTGTGGTCACCAGGCCATACCCACTGGCAGGGGGTTGACTGAGTGCAGCGTTTCACTCCTCAGCAGTAACTACAGAAGTTCCCTGTGGGTCTCAGCCCTACCAACTACCCATTTGGAACAAAACACCAGCCCTTTTGTAGTTGATAAAGAATAAAGTTGTTAATCTGATCATCGTGAGTGGCAAATCCTGACCCTTCTGTATGTGCTGCTAGTGCGTTACTGGTATCTTAATTTTGTCACACCGTGTTCTGGCTTATTGGCCTCTCTGGCACAGCACAGGGTAACACGAATGTGCCATGATACGGAGTGGGATGTGTAAATTTGACTGGGGTCATGGGATGTATCACAGGGAAGATGGTGTGAGTTGTGCTGAGGGCCCAGTAGGATTTGGACGTGTGCAGACAGGCAGAGGGTTTGTGCCTGGCCTTAGAGGGCAGGAGTCAAGGCCCCAAGCCCTGACGGTGTGTGGCAAATTCCAGGGACTCGTTTACTGGTACCGCTCAGGGATGTCTTCATTGAAAAGCGGTGCTAGTTGCAGAGCAGGTGTTAGTGAAACGGGGAGAGAAGCGAGCAGTTGGTGGGAGACGAGCTGTATATAGGACTAGCTCTTTCCCAGGACCCTGAGCTGAGGGGTTCAGAACTGGCCCAGAGCCTCAGGCCTGGATTTGCACTCCACCCACACCCTCTGTGGCACTTAGCCCTAAGCCCCTCAATGCTGACCTGTGCCTGCCTTTATTTTCTCAGCTGTGATGGGGACTGGCCCTGGGCCAGGTGTCATGGTCAGGACAAGAGCCATGTGTTTGAGTGTCCAGTTGGGGACCACCCCTGGCCTTTGAGCAGCTCATTAGAAACACTGAATCTGGGGAAGTATTTAGGGGAAGGGCCAGGACCTGGTGGCCTGAGCCGGCAGCTTCTCCCTCTCCAGGGGACCCACTTCCTTGTCCCATCCAGCACCTCAGCATAGACACGGGCAGGTGTCTAATCCCCCTGGAGGATCACAGCCTTGAAAGCAGACATGGTCAATGGCTAAACAAGTAACTTTCTACCTTCTACTCAAATGGCTCTAGGAGATGCAGGAGCCTGCTTCTTAATATGTCAATGTCCTAATAAAACCACCTCACTTTTCTCCTGCCAACCCTTGAGTCCATTGCCCCCTGCTGGGTTTTAGCTGAGAGGCCTTTGTTTCTAAAGTTGGAGTAAGTCTTTGAGGCATTGTGTTGGCTAAGAATTCATTCTCGCTTTCCCAGGAGCAGATTCCCTGTGCAATGGCCAGATAAAAAAACACGTATCCCATTAGTCCTGGGCATAATTTATTTTTTGCATAGGCATAAATTAGAATCTGGAGATAAAAAATTAAGAACCCAATAGTGCAGCATTTGTGACAAAAGAGCTGGGGCAGAGGCTGTGCAGGGGCCGGTGCTGGAGGAGCACAGGGTGGCCTGGGACTCGCCTTCATCCCAGCTTAGTCCCACGGGAGCCCAGTCAGGGCTTAGCCTTCCTCCCAAGGGCACCTGCCCACATGGCAGCCCCTCTTGGCAGCCGGGTTATAAGGAACTAAAATCACCCAATGCCCCACAGAACGGGGCTAGGAATCAAGCCCTTAACTTTTCAGTTAAAAAATAGACCTTGAAAAATGTTTACATAATACAGCAGGACCTGCTGGGTCAAAAAACCCTTCCTCAGGCCCCTGCCCTCCCCAGTCCCCTTCCCCACCCCCCATAGAAAAAAAGCCAGAAGGAAAACCATTGAGCAAGAGCTGAAAGAGCCCCAAAACTGTGGCTGAGGGTGAGGGCCCCTTACACCGGGGAGCCTGATTGTGATTGGGTGGGGGCAGGGCCCACAAGGCAGCCAGACCTCCCGCCATGATACCCTGAATATCACTGAGTCATCACTGGGTTACCAGGAGAGCCCAGGGAGTTCCCTGCTCCACTCTCCCAGATGCCTACAGCTTCAGAGGACAGGTCTGGGCTCCCTGCATTCAGGGGGAATGTGGCAAACACTCAGGCAGGCACACCCCAGTTCCAGCATCAGAAGAAAAAAAGCAACTAGTCTCCCCAGCAGAGGGGATTCTACAGGGCTGGCCTAGGACCCTCAGAGGCTTACAGGAGCCAGACCTTGGGTACAATAAGCCCCATGGCCCACCTCAACCCAGGACAAATACAGTGTATAGAAGCCCTCTGAGGACCTTGTGGGCCAAGCTCCCCTGGGTTGATGGCACTGGTTTCTATAAGAGCCCAGCTACCCTCTACCAGGAGCTTCCTGCCTGCTGCCCAGTCCCAACTGGTACTGTGAGCACCCTCCTCCTATAGGGCCTCAATTCCCTGCCCCAGGCCCTAGCTTTTGCCGCCTGTGGCTTTAGCATGTGCATTATTCATATACCTCCTGACAGAGCTTCCTGGGTGCCAGCCTCTCCAGTGTGGGCAAGGGGCAGTCAGGTCTTACCCACAACTGCTGGATGGCCACTCATCACCTCTCCTGCCTCAGTCCCACATGATATGCTACATATATACATCCTCCCAGGAGGGGGAAGGAGACGCCTGGTGCCTGGCACAAGAATGAAGGATGGAAAGACACTGGAGCCAGCTGTGCCCCTCCAGCCACTGCTGCTAGGAAAGCCCTGCATGTTCTTTCTCATGTCCACTGACCATTCTTGCTACTGGAAGTCAGTGCACTGATCAAGCATGTGGGGGGAATGGTAGGGTGCTGCTCTCACTCCCAGAGAAGAGGGCACGGCTGGCCTCCCAGCTGGCTGGCAACAGCACAGGGAAGGCCTAGTGGGCAGGCTCCCCGTGCACCCTGAAGCGGTAGATGCAGGTGTACTCAGGGTGGCCCCAGTTAGTCAGGATCCGCAGCTCCACCACCTGGTATGTGGCCATTTTCGGGTCCTGGGTGGAAGGAAGATGTTAAGAGTGTCATAGAGCCCTGAGACCTCACTGACAGCAGGCAGGAGGGAAGATGCCACCCCTAGGGCCTCTGCAGAGACCTGGACTTAAAGCTCCCGTCTTCAGACCTGGAGGAGTTTCCAGCTGATGGACCAAGGGGCCCCAGAAGCTTCAGAGGTCCTACAGGGACACGTAAAAATGGTCTCGCAGCTAAGTGCCAACACAGTTCATCCCAAACTGACAACCCGCAGGAGCTCTTGACCATTGTCAATGGGCAGAACTACCTTCGTGGAGAGCTTGCTGCTCTATGTTGATGTTGGGAAAGAATCCCTTTACTTTGAATTAAGCAGAATTTCTTTTCTTTCTCAAGTTGCCATCAGACCTCTGTCCTCTACGCTCAGAAGGCCACAGTTTTTGAGCCAGCTTTTAGAGCAGATCCCACCTCCGACGCCCCAGCAGTGCTCTGCTCTTCCTCTCCCCCCTCCAGCCCTCCTACAGCCTCTTGGCCTCCACCCTTTCCTAAAGGCACAGCCTACACACATCTCTGGGAAACCCCAACTACTCTCACGGTTATCACCTAGGAGCTGGCACTTAGTCCATATGCCCAGGCCCTGTGACAGCTCCACTGGGCCGTCCCACAGGTGCCTCAAGCTCGGTGGCCAACCCTGCCCCCGTCTCTGCATAGCTTCTCGGCTGCCCTCTGCTCCACCTCCTTCCCTATGGCGTGCCGCCACCTCTCCTTCCTCGGACACCCTCATCAATCCTGGCTTGCTTTCCTGCGACCACTGCCTGACCGGCTCCCTCTCCAGGCTTGTCCCCCTCAGACTCACCATTTACACTGACCATATCGTCACTTATCTGCCTAAAACACAGCAGTGCCCCCACCCTCCCCCATCCAACCCTGAGGGCTGAAATTCTTCTGCCCGGTATCCAGGCCTGCCTCTCCAGGCTCTTCCTGCCACCGTCCGGTCACCTCATACCCCCTGCCTCACACTAGCTATCCCAAGTCCTCACCGCTGGCGGAGGTTGCAGGTGACCTGCATCACACTCATCTAGGCTGCCTGTCAGAGCGCAGGTTCCTGGGTCCCAGTGGCCCTAAGGAATCAACCTGGGGCAGGGCCTGGGATTCTGCATTTCTAACAAGTCACTTGGACAGCTGTCCATGCCTTGAGCTGTGGGAGGGCGGGGCTGTGGTTCCCTGCTCTGAACCCCCAGTGCCTGGCACAGGGTAGTGGATGGGGAAGGGAGTACGCCACCTCTGCTGGCATAACAGAATCCTGTACCTGAAAATAAAATGTCTGGATGGGCTCCCCGTCCTGGTTGTAGGTGAACTGGCCAAGAAGTGTCCCCTCCTGCTGCAGGTCTTCATCAAACCCCTGGAAAGAGCAAAGATGAAGAGAAGATCCTGCTCTTAAGACATGTCCTGGCCACCCGGGAGGAGTGCCTTCCCTCTGTTCCCACACCGGTCCCCTCCCACCCTGGCGGACTGCAGGGGACCTGAGCACTGGACACAGGGCTGCTATGGGGTCTGACAGACAAGTCACTTAGCTCCTTGGGCCTCTGTTTCTTCCTCCGTAGCCTGAGACACCTGGGACCAAAGTACCATTTCCCACCCTGGCACCATCTCTTCCAAATCTGCTCCCCTCCCCCAGTCGAAAGAATTACTCCAACTTTATCCTCAGCAGAGACTCCCAGCGTCCTACAGCCCTGGGCCCTGTACAGGTGGGATACTCACAAAGACAGCAAAGTCCTTGGGGGCACTGGAGATGGTACTGTTGGGTGACAAGGACTTGGGCACATGCTCTAAGGTGACAGCAGTAGGGTGGATGCGGGCAGAAAGGCGAACCACAGCAAAGCCCTGGGGCCCTTGGAAGGCCCAGCAATTGCCTGGGTGCACATCTGGCTGGAAGGGAAGAAAGCTGGGTCAGTGCAGGGCTAGTGGCAAAGAGCCCACCCTGAGTGTAGCTCTGGCAGATCTGGGACGGGACAGTCACCCAGCTACATAGGTGACCGCACAGCACCCTGCTGTCTCCCTCGCTGGGTGCCTACCTGGAGGATGACTCGAGGAGACTGGGAGTGGTACCACAGGGGGATGCCAAAGAGGCTGAGGAGGGCCGTCTTGGTCTCATAGGTCTCAGAACATCGGGTGCTGATCACACTGGCCCCTGACACAGGAAGGAAAGGCAGGGTGGGTGCCTGGGGCCTGGGCATCAGCAGAGACCATACAACCAGCTCAGCTTGGCAGCCAAAAGGACCCCAGGCTTAAAGGGCTGAGGCAGCCCAAGGGGGAAACACTATTACCCATGTCCCTCTCTGAGGACAGAGGGCAGATGCCCCAGGCCCAATCTGTGCACCCAACCCAGACAACAGAGCAGCTGTAAACAGTCTCGTCCCAGCCAAGGATGGTGCCTGGGTGGGAAATGGTACTTCCAGTGGCAAGTCCTGACTTCTCCAAGCTGTCACTTGCCTTTGTGGTGAGTCCTAGGTTGGTGGCTTCTGATAAGCCCTGCTTGCCTAGCACCAGAGCTGCTGGGGCAGATGCCAGATGCCAATAAGGGGACCAGGGTTTGATGCACACACCTCCCGATTCCAGCGCGTAGTCCACCATCCCAATGCGGTCCTCACTGTAGCGCTTCAGGGCCTGGTTTACAATGCGGTGCACCTCCTAAAACAGGCACCCAGGGCAGCTATGACAGGAGGCAGACTCATCCACCCTCGTACCCCACTGCCGGGGCCCAGGGGCTTACAGACTGACCCCTCTGTGCTTGTGCCATGCATGCCGGTCCAGGCACCCACGCCACCCACGCAGGTGTACCTCCACCCCGTACCAGCCCCAACACAAATACTGGAGCCTCCTGCATGGCACTTGCAGGGAGCTGGGAGGTGGGGAGTGTGCAGGTCTGTGGCTCCCAGGGAGGAAAGCAGTGTGTGTGTGTAAGTGGGGGGTCCTGGGGCATATTTTCTCACCTCCTCTGTCACCCCGATCACACCTTCCTTCTGCAGCCTCAGCCCCAGGCTGGCCACAGCCTCCCTCGCCGACTTGCCCTGCATCTCGGCCATGTGGGTGAGGATCTTGCTCTCCAGCTCCTGCAGCTGAGCCTGCATCTCCTCTCGCTGAAGGAGACCAGTGCGGGTTCCCCCTCCTTGAAGAAGGAACTGACTGACCCAGGCAGGGAACTGAGACTCCACCTAGGGACCAAAAAAAGGTCTCACTTTGGGATGCTGGAGGGTAGTGCCGGGCATGGACCAAGGAGCAGGGAAGGAATGCAGGCCTGTGAGGGGAGGGCCAACATGTGCCTGCTTGGGCCACATGGAGGAAAGATCTAAGAACAACCCTCCACATTCTCAATAGAAAAACAAGAAGTCCCATCAAAGGAAGCTAACATCTGTGTCAAGTCCAGGACCAAGGCTCCTGGGACTAACAGGCTGCAGGGGCAGGAAGCTCTCTGCCCCATGCAGACTCTGAGGACAGATGGTTTCAGAGGGTGAGGTGTTCAGCAGGGGACTTGGACGGTCCCAACTCACGTCGTTCCTCACGGCCTGGAGCTGCTGGGGCAGCAGGCCCACTTGGTCCGCCACCGAGTTCTGCTTCAGGGTCAGGGCTGCCAGCTCCTGACGCAGGCCTGCCAGCTGGCCCTCCAGCCGCCCCAGCTCCTTCATGGAGTTCTCCCGGAAGGACTCCTGGGTCATCCTACTCCCAAAGAGAAGAGAAAGCCTTGGATCTCTGGTGAGAGGGGAAAACGAGAGGATCCCCTCACTGGCTCCGGGTGTAACGTGAGCCTGCCGCATACAGGCGAACGGAAGGCCGACTCCTGCAGGTCCCGGCTGTGAACACAGCTCCGGGGCTTGCCTCATTCTCATCCTGCTCCCTCTCTAAGCTCAGGTCCATCCTTCACTCGTCCTCAGCTGTTCGCACGCTCCACGAGCGTGGCGTCTAGGGCATAACATCTAGGGCTTGGGAAGGCAGCGAGTGAGGTCGTACAGAAAAGTTGGTGTCTACGCGAACCCACCAATCCCAGTTCCCTTGCCACGCCCCACCCCAGCCTCCACCACCTTAAGCACAGGCCCTAAGCGCATGGTCCTGCACTAGGCTTCAGCCATGCCGCTCTCTGCTTAAAACAGAACTCTGCTCCGGGGTTCTGCTCTCCAGTCCTGCCTGGCGTGGGGAGGGGCAGGCCTAGGCCAGACTGCAGGGCCCATTACCTGTGCCACTCAGACTTTAGCTGCTCGAGTCGAGCCTCGGACTCCTGTTGCAGGGAGAAGGGAGAAATACAAGTGATGTCAGGCTCAGAGCAACTGCCCTTTCAGAATCTGCTCCCTTTGCGGGGTCTTTGCTTAACCACATCCCCGCCCCAGGGTCTCCCAACCGCTCCAGCAAATGCCAAACTGGCCTCCTGGTCAAGGTCCTATGGGAGTCTCATCCATCCACTCATTCATTCAGCGTTAGACCCAACGCCATGGGCTGCTTAAAGGTGACCCTTCCTGTCCCTAGCACACTCTAGTGCGGCCCTGGGGAGCACTCCAGCCCAGGTGGGTTCAGTTCAGACAGAAGTCAGGAGACCACCCCTGCACCCCCTATCCCCCAGGTCTAAGCAGGCCCCTCGGGAGGTTAAGGTATCTCTCAGCCCTAGCACAGATGTTGAACCGGATCAGGGCCCCACTGTAGGCCCCACGTGCCCAAGCCCACCTACCTGGGAGGCCCGGACAATCTTCTTGAAGAGATCTTCTGAGTCCTGTTGGTGCTCTGCTCTCAGGGTGACTAGTTCTTCCTGTGGGCAGAATGAGAGAGGCTGAGATTTCACTGGCTGCACTCAGAGGGCCACTTACCACCACCAAGTGGTGTGATTAGAGTTCACACCAGGCCTATGTGATGGCAGACGTCAGCTCCTGGCCTTTCTGCTACCGTGCTTCTTGAAAGGGTGCAGGCCTCCCCTTGATCTTTACTGCACGCCTACGGGGTGCCAGGCACTGGGCCAGGCACCTTGTAATCTATGTGCTCACAGCTGGGCAGGGGCGTGGGTGCAGAGAGGAGCGCATCCATTTTAAAGAGGAAGAGACTAAGACTCAGAGCAAGTAATTACCAAGTGGCAGAGCTGTTTCCCTCGTGCCAGGGTGTGCAGGGTCCTGCCCCTCCACCCCACACGCCCACAGTGTCACCCACATGCGACAGTCAGCTCTCTCCCCTACCTGGATCTGGGCAGTGGTGTCCCTGCGGAAGTCCTCCCTCAGTGCAGTCTCTCGGCGGCTCACCAGCCCCTCCAGGAGTGCCAGGGTGTCCTCCTGGCTCAGGCTGCCACCACCTCCCTCACCAGTAGCCCCCTGCCGCAGCTCCAAGCGGTCCAGGCGCATGGCCTCCTTCTGCCGGCTGGCGGAATGTTCAGCAGCAAGAGCTTCCAGACGCCGCTCCAGAGAGTGCACCCGGGACAGAATGCGCTGCTCGGCCTGGCGGGGCGGGAGGGAAAGCCCCAGAGGTGAGGGACCCTTGACAACAGTGCTGCCTGAAGGGAAAGGGGAGAGAATCCCAGACATGCCCCATGTGAACACCTGCGGGACCTAAGGCTCTCAGCACACTCTCTGCCTTACAGGTGGGCCAGTCCTTCAGCAGGTAAACAGGTTCGGTGGGTGGCAGGGGTCTGGCCCCCAAGAAGGAGTGCAGGAGGGACAGTCCAAGAAGAGGACAGAAAGAAACAGCAGGATGGCCACAGGGGCTGGGTGACCTGCTGGGCTGAGCCCCCCCTCGGTGCACGTGTGCAGAGGGTGCGGGACTAAGAGCTTCAGCCACCGTCAGCCGCGTCCACTTTCTCCCTCCCGTAGCTGCCACTAAGAGACCAGGTTATCTGAAAGGCTTCCTTTTCCCCCTTTAACTGGCTGCCCCGCAGAGAAGACAGAACACAGGTCATTTGGCCTGGAGGTTGGCAATTGCTAGTGTGCCATGAATTCTGAGAACCTTGTTGGCTTCACAGCGAAAATCTTTGCCAAGAGAAAGCATAAAACACAGTCTGTCAACACCAAAGGGCAAGGCTTTGGGTACAGAGGTTGCTTCTGATTTTCCAAAATTCCATTTTTTTTGCATGACTCAGAAAGCAAACAAACCGAAAAAGCCATGCTCCTGACCTCTGCCCCCTCCACCCAGTACCCTCATCACCTTCCCCCCCAAACCAGGCAACTATTTTATTAGTGTCTTTATGCAAATGTAACTCCTCCTCTTTGTTTTTACAAAAATGGTGGTCCTGAAATGGAATTGTATTTAACGTCTTTACTAATGGTTAAAAAAGAAAAATTTATAAATGCCAGAATATGTCATTATTTTATGAAATAATCAGATCGTGGTCAGGAAAGTAATATCTGCCAAAACAAATGGTTAGAAATGGGATTCCAAATTAAATTCAGCAAGATACAAGCGAAGTTTTAAATTTTCGTTGTGGACCTCAGGACCTGCGCACATACATTCTGGTTATTTGTGCACTTGTCACACACTCTCGCACACTGGACTGCAGGTTCTTTGAGGGCACAGCCTGGAGCTGTTTCATCTGCCCCTGGCAGACGGCAGACGTGGCCACTGTCCTTCCCTCTGCACTGCGTGTGCACACCGAGCAATGTGGCCTCACAGGTGCTCCATGGAGAGGTGGAGTCTGCTTCCCCTGCTTGAATCTAGCCTGGCTCTGGGGTTTGCTGTGGCCAATAGGATATGGGGGAAGTGACAGGGTGCTAGTTCCGAACAGAGGCCTCAAAGGGCTGGGCCTGGTTCTGCTCTCCTGGAACCCTGCACAGCCACTGTGAGACCACCACCAGGCTAGCCTGCTGGGCAACAAAAGCACAGCCCGCCCAGCTGACCCGCATCGGCCAGCTGCAGACACATGAGGGAGCCCAGCCAAGGCCAGCTTGTCCCTGCTCAGACCAGAAAAGCCAGCCAGGGGACCCACAGACTCATGAGCTAATGAAATGCTTACGCTCTGCAGCGCTGACTTAGGGGTGGTTTATCGGTGCTAATACGTAACTGACCAGGAGACTACCTGATTCATAGGAGGTGCTCAGTAAATACAGGATGTGGCAAAAGTAGGTTTACAGTGGTAAGTACACAAAACACAGTTTATTCTTGTATCACTTATTATATTATTCTCCATATGAACGACTGAAACCTACTTTTGCCCTACCCTGTATTTATGAAATTGTTGGAAAGAGATAAAGCAAACAAGACAACCTGGCTCAGTCCTCTGTCTTCTCTGCTTAGGACGGCAACGGGCCTTGGTACAGCTCTGAGTCATATCTGAGCAGGCTGAATGGTAGGGAAGGGGGTCCCTGGGGGGACGCGGCAGTGTCCCAGCTAGGACGGCACCTCTTCTCAGCTCTGTGTGCCAGGTACAAACGCAAACAGGCAGAGGCAGGCGCCTGCGCACTAAGATACTCACCTGGAAATGTGGGGCTGAGTCTCTGGACTCCCACACTCCATGCTGCCAGCCACCGCCCCTCGCTGCCCACCAGGAAACCACGGCAGGCTGGACTGTCTGCAGCCCGTAGGGGTAGAAATACCAGGCACCTGTGCACAGGGGAGAGGGCGGTTACCCAGGCCAGGCGGCGAGCAAGAAGGTGCACAGGGTGAGGACTTTCGTCTCATTGATGTCGGTTATCAGTAGCAGGTCTCACTCAAGTTGGCTTCTGCCCACAGGAGGTACAGGGGTGGCGCTTCCCATCCTCGGAGGCAGCGACTTCCACCTGACAGTCCCAGAGTGTTTGCATTCCCTCCTCCCCTCAGGGATCCTCATCTTCCAGAACTTGGAGAAAATAGCTAAATAGGCCAGGGGTGATCAAGGGGTAGAAGCCAGAGGTCCTGATGGTGGTTCTCAGCCCGGACTTTACATCAGAATCACCCAGGGACCACCACATATAACGCAGAGCGAACATCTATCACAAAAAGACCATGCACATAATCCAAATCACGAATTTCTGTAGAGAAGGCCTAAGAGCTTTTTTCATTTGCACTTGACAACTTTCAAGGAGACTGGAGGAGGGGAGGGAAGGTCCTGATTACACAGCAGGAAGACTTGTTGAGACTCAATGAAAGCTTTAAGGGCCATGAAGGGGTGGTGGAAACAAAGAAAGTCTCAGCCCCAATCCAAAGGATTACATATGTAACATCCCAAAGAGTTGTTTCAACAGGAGAAAAGGAAACCCGGTGACCGAAGATGTGACATGACAAGAATGAAGTTGTCAAAATCAGTGTAATAAATGCTCCAATAAAAAAAAAAAGCAAAAACATCCAGTGTCCCCCCCCCCCCA